GGTCCCGTGCCCTCCCGTGCAGCCTCTGCTCGGCTGCGGCCGGTGCCCCGTAGGCGCCTTGGGCGCTTCACTGCAGAATTCGCGGGAAACGTTTGCTCTGAGTGCCCTGATTTGGGGGTACGAATCGTGGCAAAGTTGAGTGTCAGGAGAGTTGTGTGCGTGCAGCTGGGGAGTGTAGCTGCTACCCTCCCCTGGCTTTCCTAGTGCCTGTGCTCGAGAAGGCAAGTGTTCACCTCTTTTTGCTCCTGCGGTGGCTCTATTTTGATGCTCAACAGATGGAGAAATGGCTCTCCCATGCTCTTTCTTGAAGTTACCTGTGAGATTATCAGTGAAGAGGCTTGTGCTGTCTCTCTCTCTCTTTTTTTTTTCCAGATTCAAAACTATGTTATTATCACCATTTATGACTCTGTAGCCGGGGCTGCAAGCAAGCAGACAGGGTCTACCGTGTCTCCCTGGAGGGACAAAGTAGACTTAAAACTGTTTTCAGTTAGTGTTTGTCTAACCTTATGTTAGAGATTAACAAACTAGATAGGGGAGTCCCTCCTACTGCTGCTATAAATTTGCTGTGGGAGCAGTCCACTGCTTTCCTAAAACTACCTGTAATTTTTTGCATGTTTTTCTACTTAGGCAAAGTTATCTGTTACTTTTGTATGCCTTTGTCAATTCCCTGTTTAGAGGGGAATTTGTGGTGTCAGTAGTTAGTGTGTTTGCTCTCAAGTTCAAGAGGTCCTTGAATCAATAAACTCCCTGTGTCTCTCCAGGAGCCAGTGGTGCTGACAGATACGAACCTGGTTTATCCTGCTCTGAAATGGGACCTGGACTACCTCCAAGAAAACATTGGCAGTGGGGACTTCTCAGTGTACAGTGCCAGCACACACAAGTTTCTGTACTACGATGAGAAGAAGATGGGCAATTTCAAGAACTTCAAGCCCAAGTCGAGCAGAGAAGAGATGAAGTTTGCCGAGTTTGTGGACAGACTTAAAGAAATACAACAGAAAGGGAGTGCTGAGAAGTAAGCATTATGTAGGACTTTCTACATTTAAGTAGGAAATAAGTTTCATTTAAATGACCGTTGATGGAGCTGTTATTTCAAGAACCTGTACTATCACAGTGTAGTGTTATCAGGTTGAAGTCATGCTGTTAGCTAAGCAAACTGCTTAAATTGTCTGTCTGCAGATATGTTTTTTTCCTGCTTTGTCTATAGCAAGAGTTGCGTAGAGAATGCCCCAGTTTTGCTTTATTTTGCCAGACTGTGATATTGCTAGAAGGAGGTTAGGTAGCCACTGAGAAGGGAAAGGCAGTGACACTCGACTCTTTACAGGATGCTGTGATAATTAATGTTGCCTTTTCCTCAGGAAGATGAGGAAGAGTGGAATATGTACTCTGCATGTTGTTTATGCTGCTGACCTAGATGGCTTACAGCTGTATATTAGCAAGAGGAACTTCTTTTTTATTAACAACTCAACTTATATCTGTGGTTGATACTGCTAGTCACCAAATAGCTTTCTCGAAGGACTTACAGATGGCTTTTTGAAGCATCTCTGTGTGTCCATGTCTACTGGTCATCTTGCCCTTGTCTTTCTCAGCTTTGCATATACTTCCCCCAAGGGAGAAGGCAGTCTTTAAGCTTAGAAACACTTTTTAAAAATCGTTTTTATTTTTGTTTTTTCCCAACATTGCAGACAATAGTTTGTAATACTGAGATTGTTAATAGAGAAGTTTTGTTTGTGCCATTTCCTGTGTCTACGTGTATGTGTGGCTTTAAGATAACTCAATACTGAAAAGTGCTGCTTTTTTCTGAGACATCTTTTGCCCTTCTACACTGTGAAAGAGGTAATTTGTACGGCAAATGGCTTGGAGCATTTTTCCAGGGGCTGTTCATGAGTATTTTTGGTATTTGATTGTGGCCCACTTGATGAGAATTTTCTCATCCTGCTCATCAGGGATTGTTCTTGTTGTAAAAATCTAAAGTTTTTCCCCTGTGCTTGTTCCCACAGAGCAATGTTCTGTACCAAGAAATCTTTGGGCAAAGTTTGGCGGGGAGGGGGAACGCTGAAGCTGCTTGCATCTGTGATTATTTGTAATGGATGATGATCAAACAAAATCCCTGAAAATGTGATTTTGATGCTGTACAGAGGAGGATAGTATTTTTCACTGCTTTCTGTAGATGAAACAGTCTTCTGCCCTAGAATGTCTTGTGTATAGTGAAGGGGTATGTATATAGCGGGGCAAGTAAGTGCCTTTCTGAAGGTGAGCAAAGAGGTGTCTTTTTATACATGGAAAAGCTTAATAATTTCTGCTTGGCTTTGGGGAAATACAGGCTATACCTGCAGCAAACCCTGAATGACACAGTTGGAAGGAAAATTGTGGTGGATTTTCTTGGCTTCAACTGGAACTGGATTAACAAACAGCAAGGGAAACGTGGCTGGGGTCAGTTGACCTCTAACTTGCTTCTTATTGGCATGGAAGGTAAGCAACTTGATCAGCAGTTCTGTATTTCAGTTCCAGAGCATCTTCCATGTGAATTTTACACTAATTTGTAATGATCTCTTCAGAGCAAGCAATGCAAAACTTTGGTTGGGAGAGGAGCGTTGTCACAACTTAAATTGGACTGTACAGAGAGAAACACAAGATAGCTTGCTATCAGTGAATGCTTGAAGGTCAACTCTCATGCAAAGACTCTATACAGTGCTGTTAGGGCTATGTTTCCAGTGATTGTTAATCTTATTCTGAGATGGATCCCTATTTATCATTTGAACCCTTCAGATACTGTGGATTTAAAGTGTCTAGAACCTAAGGCTTTACAAGCTGAGCAAAGCTCCCTTTTGGGGAGGAACTATTTTTCAAAAAAGACCTAAATTTCGTCTTGCAAAGTTAGAGGGTGCTGAGAAGTTTGAAGACACTTATAACATGTCTTCACATAGATACTACTGCAGTGCCCACAAGGACAGGATACGAATAGAAAGTGTAGTGAATTGTCAAACAACTCTAAAAAGTAGTTAATAGGGGTACAAACTGACCTGCTATGTTTTAAGATTTTAATGTATTTAAGACCCAATGGTGGAAGTCAGGCTTAGTAACAGTTAATCAGTCCTCGGGCTAGAGGAGGGGCAATTGTATTATGAAGGCCCAATGACAAGATTTGTTCACTTGGTGTTTGTTTTGTTTTTTTTTTGTTTTTTTTTTTTTTTGCACAATTACTATGATTTTTTTCTAAATCAACTTATAGGACTCACTTTCTCTGAACTAATAGTGCTCTGTAAAAATTAATTCCTCAATTTGTCAACTAAATGGAGTGGTTTTCTAAAAAAGCTTCTCATCAACAATCACCATCTGGTGTTTGTGAAGATAAGCTGGAAGTCCAAATTCTGCAGAGCATAAGTTGCTGAATATGAATTTTGAATTGAAATTGTTAAGCAGCGTAGCAACTGCTCCAGTAAAGGCTGACTGATATAATGATCAGTTTGTAACATGTAATATTTTCCTTGTTTAGTTTTCTCTATATGTGGAAGTGTATTTACTGTCTTTGCCCCAGCACAGAATGTATCTTGTTACTATCTTTCATAAGTATATGTAAGAATGTCTTGTTTTGACTATCAGCCTTTTCTCTTTGCAGGGAATGTGACACCAGCTCATTATGATGAGCAGCAGAACTTCTTTGCCCAGATTAAGGGCTACAAAAGATGTATCCTGTTTCCTCCTGATCAGTTTGAGTGCCTCTACCCTTACCCTGTGCACCATCCATGCGATAGGCAGAGCCAGGTGAGAGCAGCAGATACTCTCTTCGCCATGCTGAAAAGAGACATTTGTGAAAATGCAGGGTGGGAGGAAGCTGCGCTGAAATTAGTCACACGTGGTTTTCTGATCCTTTGCAATAGCTGTGTCCAGATTTGTTAAGTGAAGAGCGTGTTGAAAATAAATGGAAAAAGCAGCAGTCTTTGTTCTGGTCAAGAGATTTTGAATCCCGACTTGGAAAGCACTAGGATTACAAGCATCTGCTACCAGTGGTGTGGCTGGGCAGCTCTTACCGCTTCGTCTGTTCTGTTTCACTGTTCACTTGGTAAAAGACAGGTTACTTGCTGATAAGCTTCAGGATGCCTATTTGAGTCGGTGGTGCTTTGAGGATACTGCAGCAACTCCCTTTAGAATTAGGCACTAATGAGAATGTAAAAGCAAAGTAGGAAAAATATCAGGAGGATGTGATACTGAAAGCCTATAATGAGGTCTGTCATTAAAGGAAATTGAGTTTCTTATTTCTGCTTGTGCTAGGTGGACTTCGACAATCCTGACTACGAGAAGTTTCCAAATTTCCGGAGTGTTGTAGGCTATGAAACAGTGGTGGGTCCAGGCGATGTGCTCTACATACCTATGTACTGGTAAGAAGGATGTGCACAGTGACCAGCAAATAAAGTTTAAAAGTTTTTTTTGTTTGTTTGTTTTAATCTTGGGTTGGCTTTTAAGAGAATTTTGTTTCAACTTTCCCAGCAATATGGCATTTGCTGGAATACATTGGACTGGACTCTCTTTCCTGTCTGTAAAATGTATGTGATAATTCTCTCTAGTGCTACATTGTGTAGGCTATCCACTAGTATGTGCAAAAATTATCTGTGTTTAAATAAGCAGAGCTTTCCAGAAGTTCTGATTTTGTTGATAAAAAATAGATGAAGGTCTTTAGTGCAGTCTGAACACTTTTGTTCAAGGTATTTAACCATGGGCTGTAGCAGTCATTTCTCTTCTTCTTTTTTTTTTTTTCATTTTTTTCTCCTCTGTGTGTGTGTATGTGTGGTTTCTGTGCAGGTGGCACCACATTGAGTCTCTCCTGAATGGGGGGATTACCATCACTGTGAACTTCTGGTACAAGGTGAGTATATGCACCCTTCTATGCACCTTGGATAGCTCTATGTCAGAGGATTTTTTTCAGGTGGAGATGTATGGCAGGTGCTGCCATGTGAGAACTTCAGCGCACCAAATCCTGTGCCTTAGGACTTGTCATAAGCTGAAGGCTGCTTTCTCCCTTTTATGTTGTGAGTGAAGAGCTGGGAGAGAATGGAATAATCTGTTAATTCAGTAAACATGCAAGGAGCTATTTTTCATGTTTCAGGGTGCCCCTACCCCAAAGAGAATTGAATATCCATTAAAGGCTCATCAGAAAGTGGCAATAATGAGAAACATTGAGAAGATGTTGGGAGAGGCCCTAGGAAATCCACAAGAGGTATGAAAGAGAAATGTATTGTTGAAACGGTTGTGGGTTAGTACAAAAGTCAAGATGCCAGGTTGGCTCTGCAGGTGTCACTGTGGGGTGGCAGAAAGCAGCATTGTGCTGCTGCTCTTCATGCTCTGTTCTCAAAATACCCTTGGGCTACAAAAGGCAAGTTCCTTAAATTATTATCCTGGAGAAGATCACTACAAACAAGGGAATAATTGTTCTTGTACCTGGGTGGTTTATTTTGGCTCTGGGCACTACCAGGAAGAGGTTTTGCTCCCAAACTCTCATTAGCCTTTGGTGCAGCCACAAGAGAAATAGATACGCAGAATTTGTCAAAGCAATGAAAGTGTTCTACCTGTTCAATACAGATTTCTGACACCTGAGCAGTCCCATCTATTTGGCCATGTGTTTCCCTCTCACCAATTGTCCCAGCCTTGTCTGAATTTTGTTAAAACTTTAACCAACTGGTGTGTCAAATAACAGTGGTTTGAAGTACAAAGGGTATCATTTTTGAAGATCGGTAGATATGAAAGTGGAAATACCCGATGTATTTTCATGGTCTGTAATGCTCTCTCTGCAACAAACTTGAGCACACCCATGTGAGATCAGGCTTTTTGCTTGGGGTCTTCTGAATGCCATAGCAGGCTGAAGTTCTTCCCTTAGTGATCAGGCAATGCTGAGAAATTTTCTTGAAAAACAAAACCATAGCAAAAACTTCAGGCCTAGACTAGACTTTCTTCCAAGTGACCCCAAGGACCAGAACATTCCTGAGAGCATTCCTTCTCTGTCCTCTGAAAAGCAGCCCCTGATGGCTGTTGACTTTTTAGTTGCACCTCATGAGAAAGCTCCAGTCTAGAGTAGGAAGTTAAAAATTTCAACCAATTGCAAGTGGGTTGCTTTGGTGACAGTCCAGATTAATGGTTCATTGAGAGTTCTGGTTAACTCCTGTGACTGTGGTAGGGTGTTTGAGTATGTGCTCCGGTTTTCCTGAAGTTTTAATGCAAAAAATTCTTTGAAATTGATTCAGCATAGGCTCAGTCTGTGTTGAAATCCTCTACCCTGAGCTCTTCAACTCGTAAGCTGCTATGAAGGGGAGGGAGCAAGCTGTGCTGCTGCCACTTCTGTGTACCTGTCCTGCCTAATGATCTGTCTTTGCTTTGAACAGGTGGGTCCCTTGTTGAATATGATGATTAAGGGACGGTATGACTAATGGCTGGCTGCCCGGGTGACTGATGTTGGAGCTGCTTTGTTCACGAGCAATGGAAGATACTGAGCGCTAGTCTTGCACGCAGCACTTAAGAGACTGATGGGTTTTCTGGCCCATCCTTGTCCCTGCCCCACTACAATACAGGGGGCTTCTGGAACTGCAGAACCATTAGTATCCCATCCATCCTCCACTCTCATCTAACTGAACCTCCCAAGAAAGAGTCTGCACTTACTGGAAGCTGGATTCATGCTCACTAACTTGTTAATTTTTCTCCCCCTCCCTCTGCCCTGTTTGCCACAACGAAGAGCATGGCTTCTGGCACTCAGATATGTTGCGTAAGGATTTTACAGGCATTTGAAGAAGAGCTTGGAGAGGAACCAGGAGTCGTTTTGTTTCCTCAGCCTCCTGGGTTTGGGTTCCCTGTCTGAGTTTGTGTTGGTGCCTGCAGTGGATATAAGATGAGAAATGTTAGATTTCAGTCCTCTGTTGTTAGAGGACCTGTCCATGCTCAATTTTGGCACCTTTTTGTATAGTGTAAATGAACACATGATGGCCTGTGTGTGAGGAGCAACTGGACAAATTATTAATTTCCTTCAACTCAAGACATTTATTCTTGGGACTTTGGTACAGAGTAGAGAGATCAGATTGAATTCATATGCACGGAATCCTTTGCTGTCCAAATGACATCTGTGTTGTAGAAATATAGAAAAACATTCTTCCTTCTGACAGCAGCTTTCTCTGCAGAGTAAAGGATTCTCTCCTGCTGTTTTGAAGCTGCAGTTAAAAGGGGATGTAGCATTATGAAGGGAGATGCATAAACACCAGGGCACTCTTCAAGTCTTGGATGTTTAAGCTACATTTTTAAAAGAAGTTTTCCAGGGATGATGAGCTTAGAAGCTCAAACTGCCATGTCAGATAGGTACAGAGCCTCCCTTTTCCCCACCAAGGGTGCTGGCTCCTTGGACTACCATGGGAAGTGCCCTTTTTACTGAAACTGCAAGAACTTTTGTGTGTGTGTGTGTGTGGCTGCGCAGCGGTGCGTGTGTTTGTGTGATGTTGTATGGCTCCTGTCCATCAGGGAAATTCATGCCAGTGTGTGATTCCCTTCCTTGTATAGTCACGTAAAAGAGGTCAGGGCTTTCTGTTTAAACGTGGTTAAGTTTTTAGTCATCCTTTATCTGTTCTGGGACTTGACATAGCAAGCCAGGAAGCTTGCAAAAAGCTTACAAAAAACAGGGCACAGTAACCAGGAGAGTCTCTGTTTAGAGGCATTTCAACAGTAACCCTGAAAAGTCGTGTGCTTTTTCTCCTCTTCCATGCAAAAGCCTTAGGCTCATATGGAGGCTGTTTTTCCTCCCTTACTGTGCACCACCTGGCTGTTCCTGACTTGGAGATGGAGCAAGGGAGTTGTATACTTGGTGCGGTTGAAATGGGTCCCAGGAGCTAGAGGTAGGAGAAACTGTTTCATACCCCATCTAACTCATCCCAGAGACTAGTGGGAGATTGTTCAATTTAGGCTTCCCCATGCTTTCTCCTTTGTTCTTCAGGGCTTGTTCTGACATGGTTTTCTGATAAATGTGCTGAGAAGAGGCTGCTGAGGAAGCACTCTTTATCTTTGGCTTCAGGTCCCATCTTGTCCTGAGACTGCTCATGTACCACTTGCTGTGAGCTTCTCTTGTGTAAAGGTGGAAAACTTCTCTAATGGGAGTCTAAGGGGCTTGTTCTCTAGCTGCTTTACAGGTCAGGAGAAAAAAAAAATGAAGCGTAATTGGCAGCTGCCAGGGCTGTTATTACAATATATGTTCACATCACTGAGTAATCTGATTGCTATACTAGTTGCAGACTCTCCAGAGCTCTGGTTAAACAAAAGACAAAGGTCAGTCAGCTGGATGCTTATCAATATGCAGCCTTTGGGCAGGTGGGGAAGAAAGCCAGGCTACAGACTCCGGCAAAAAACAAAGCCTTCCCAGGAAATCTGGGGTACATGCATAGCCTCTGCATTAGTGGGAAGATGTTCAAGTGAAATCCCAGCTCTGTGCTACTTATTTAGCACATGGTAGATTCAAGTACTACTTGTTAGGCACCATCAGTTCTTGAAGCTCAGGGTGGGAGTTCACATCCCTTGTGGAGAGAGAATGGTACATGTGGAACTTACGGATTTTTTACTTTATTTGCCAAAGGTCTAACTAAGTGTCTGAACAGTTTTTGCTGCACTTGACTTTGTGAAAGCTCATTTACAATGCACTGATGGACTGACTCCCCCCTTCCCTTTTCACCTTGTGCTTTCAATGCCCCTTGCCATGGTATTGGGAAGCTGTGTGTGTTCTATGCTGCGGTGTGTGTGCAGGGGGTGGGGTGTGAAAAAACACACGGTACCTTCTGAAGTGTAGTTCTTAAATACAACCAACGTTGAACAACAGAAGTGTGCGGCTCTTTTTCTGTGTCTATATAGGATTGCATTTCGAGGAGATGTGCATCTGAAGTTATCATTCAGTCTTTCTAATAACTCTGCTTGTATTCTTAGCTAGTGAAGGCTTGTGGTCTCTAGACTGCCTTCAGAATAGCAATGCTATCTTCATTGCTGTGTGCACCATTTTCCCATGAACATTTCCATAAGTCTGAGGAAAAAAAAGCTGGGAATAAGACTGTATCCTGGAATTCTGTCAAGTATGAAACAATTCCCTTCACTGCTGGCCTGAGTAGGAGATTTATGCTCCGGTTGCTTGACACCATCATGTATAAGGAATTGCCAGTAGCTTCTCCTTTGGGATATCTTGTCCTCCCCTTGGTCCTTTATCTGGTTCACACTTTGGACAAAATGATTTGTACGGTAGGCTTCTTCTGTACATATGTTGTGTGTTGACAGCTTCAGGTGGTGAAATCCTATCTACTTTTTAAAAAATAAAGTTATTTTACAGTAATATTAGCTCTACAGGCCCCTTGGCCTACAACCATCAATGAAACATTGGTGGCTTAATCTGAACAAGACTCTAATGTTGTTTATGGGGGAGAACTGGATAGAGGTGTTGGGGGCGTGTGTGTGTGTCAAACGGCTGTCTGGTACTCAGGTCTCACAACTGACATTTTCTCCTTACACCCTCAGAGCCAACGTGTATGGAGAGAGCAGGAAAGGTAGGAGGATGTGGTTCTACGGTCATGGGCAGTCGCCCATCCATGCTGTGCATGCTGGGATCATCCTCTCTTTGAACACACAGTTAATAGTCTACCAAATACACTGCTCTGTATTCGGTGTGTCTGATCCTGTGGTCTGTGTTCTCCACGTGCCTCTTGGGTAACACGAATGGATGGTACCGCAAAGCTTAGAAACATTTCCAGGAGGGCAGAGGAATGGAGGGAGTTGAGGTATGAGAACTGATGCTTGAAAACCAGATAAGACTGAAGGTTTTCCCTAGTACCTCCAGTCTTTCTGGTTTGCTATTTCTCTTAGATCTTGTAATTTTTTTTTTTTTTTAAACTTCTGCCTCCTCCATTACCCAGTTCTTGGAAAAGTGGGATTTCTCCAGGGAGGAGAGACATTTATTTTAATCCTTTTAGGTCCTGGCTACCAGAGCTTTCCTGTAGAAAGAGAAGAGCATATTTTTTTCTCTCCCCCCGCCCATCAGCTACTAGCACTCCATAGGTACTTGAGGAAGTAGAGCCTCTGCTTAGAAGCAACCCCCAAGAAAGACAGAGGTAAGCCCAGGTTGAGGCTTTCTGCTTCACAACACCTTTTACCAACAGGCAAACAAGCTGAGCTTGAACAAAACCAACTACTCCTCAGCTTGGCCTGTCAAAGTCCTGGAAGGGGGAGACTGTGCTCAGGGCCTTGACAATCTCTTAATAGGCCTTAGCGCTAGTGAATGATCAAATCATGCTGCTCTCCCTCCCCTGGAAGAGGAGCAGTAACTGGAGTGGGCAGTACTGCCCTGGCACATAGTGCTTTCCTCAAAGCTTCCCTCCTGCTACATCGGTGTGAGAAGCTTCCTGGCGCTGTTTCATGGTTTCCATCTTCGTTCCTGCTGCGGAGCCAGCATTGCTTCTGCCCATGTCCTGGCAAGGTCTGAAGTCACTGTTTTCCATATGCACTTTTCTGCATTTCTGCTACGTAGGAGTTCCTGCCAAAGAAAAGAAGAGGAGATGCTGCTACTGTGACAAACACATGCAAAGTAAGTTCTAATTACTGCCTCACAAAGTCAAATATTTGTTGCAAATGGAGGACTAATTGTGGGGGGAGGGAACGGAAGTAGAGGCTCTTGGAGCGTAAGTGGAACAGATGCCCGGACGCCTTGGGGAAGCGCAGCTTTCCTTTACAAATCAGAGCTTTAAATTACAAGGCTTTTACCATCGAGAACAGTTGTGGGAAGTCGTCTGCTCTCATTTGCGTAATGGCTTCTGTCACTGGTGATTAGACACAGGATGAAGGAAAAGAAATTTGACAATTAGGAATGAGCGATCATTAATCAGAATCTTTGTTAGAAGGAGGGAAGGGGGGAGAGCATCCTGCAAACAATGGAGGCAGCCCCAGGAGCCGCGGCCAAGTCCAGAAGTCGCGCAACTCCGGAGTGCCAGTGCTGCTCTGCAGAGCCCCCGCCGCCGAGCCGCGGAGCGGCAGCAAGGGCCTCGGCTCCCCCGAAAAGCTTCCGCATGGAGCTGGGAGAATCCTTCTCTTGCTGTTCCTGCGATCCTCAGCAAACTGCTCTATAACCAAGACGGTATTGTGGAACCCTCCTCCTGCCCTGTCAACACTTCGTGCTTTCTTTTCAGTGCTTGCATGCAAACAGCCAGGGACAAAAAATCCCATGCACATTCTGGCAGTTTCTCCCCACACCTTGAATACAGCCTTGCAGCTTCTAGTGGAGAAGAGCAGAAAGAGGCCTTGACTGGCATGCAGAAAGATTAGGATGAGCAAAACAAAAACAGTTCACGAAAAGAGCTTGATAATGTCATTTGCTAGGAGAACAGGGAAGAACCTGATGGGCGCATGACTGGTAAAGAAAAGAAAACAGTTGCGACTGCTCTGTTTCTCTGTCATTTGCTGGCTTAGCTGCTCATCCAGCCAAGCACAATCAAGTGATATGCATTTATTTGTTTTTGTGTTTTTTGATCAAATTACCAGAACACATGAAGCTGTTACCTGTTTTTTCTCACAACTGCCATCTTTGAAGGCATTCTGTCTGAATGCTGCTGTCCAGAGGCACAGACAGGGATATAGTGACCAGAACATATTCAGCTTTACATCGATAAGCAAACTCATATCCCCCAGGTGAGGGCTGATGTTCTACCAAAGCAAGGCTTGGCTAGAGGACAGGTCAAGTGCAAGGATAAATGGCTACATGGCAGCCAGGGGCACCTGTGTTCCCTGCTTCAATGCCTATGCTGGGCTGATCTGTAGGCATAGGACAACTTTTGTCAACCTCCTTCCCTTCGGTGGAATGACCATTGGATCTCAATGCATGCTCAATACAGTTCCGATTGTTTGCCAGACATAATGCTATACATTTGTAGCAATCAACCAGTGGTTATTAACCCTCTCAGAGCAATCAAGTTGGGGAGGGGGGGCCAAAAAAAAGGGGGGGGGGGGAAAACCCCACATTTATTTTCCATGATGGCATAAACTTGTTTAGAGTAAACATATACCTCTTCCTCTTA